TAGCTTCTTATCGACTGATTCCAACTGTCTGAGTATCAAATTGTATGAATATGAGAAACCTCGCCATACTGGTACTAATAACCCTTGAATCGTGCAACATACGTGATTTATCGACCACTGTAAAGTGGACATTTCCGTCCTGTTAAACGACTATTCCAATTCATTATTTTCTGAACTTAAGACAGTTTCTTGGTTTCCACCACTAAAGAGAAGCTGCTCAGTGTCACCTATTCACCCACAAATTTTGTACGGGAGATCTAATGATACGAAGGTCCTCGATCCAAAGTGAACGTGATAAGATTCGAATATGATGCTTAGTGGTTGAAAGTCAAGTGCTCTAACCATTAATCAAACTTGAGTTAGTCTGAAGATATTCATGTTCTTGATAAGTTACCACCCAATAGTATCAAAGATCTACATACATTTAGTTTTGGACAATGTGACATTGATACACGTGAATAGATCAACAAATTACCGTTTATCCCAGTGCGTCATTCGCACCCAAAAAATTTGAAAAAATATGTCAAGAACTCCTCTTACATTTTTCCTAGTACTGAATGGGATTTTAAAAGATATAAATAGAAACTGTGTTGTTATGTAACATGCATAAACACAACATTGATGATATCTTATTGCAAATCAGCGGAAACAATCATTGTTAATGAAGTATTTCCAAATCAAGACTATAACATTTCTTATCAATAGCCTCTACAGTAACAGCATGTGAAATTTAATGAGAAAATGTATACCAACATAGAGTGTTAAAGGGATTGTTAATGAAAATTGGTAACGGCTAGTAGCAAAACCATCACTGATATTTTCCTAATAATTTTACGGCATTACATTCCAAACTATATCAGGAAATTGTCTATTACTATAGTCACTGAAGTTGAAATGCATCTGCATCAAATTACTTATCACATTACCTTGTCTTTAGTTAAAATGGACCATGAAAGTCTATTCTTTGTTAAAGGATAACTGATATCAACAAAACTAACTTAGTCAGTGAATATACACCTATTTAATAATATAGAAACCAAGCATTGGTATATGAATATGTAAACTGATCTGACAATCTTTAAAATAAACTCGTTAAACAGGACTCGTTCACTATAGCTGCTAGTTTTATTACAAATTAATTTTCATCACGAACTAATATCACTTGTAAAACCATATTAAAAAAATCAGAAGTATTACTGATCTCATTGAGTGATTACCGTAAACATCACAGACACTGAATTTAGAAATGCAGTTGTTTTAATCCGGACTCTGATTTGTAAGTATTATGTTCATTTGGTTTCGTATCGTATCCTTAAAACTAACTTCTTACGGGACATTTTCCATAAACTTAAAATCTTAATAGTAACTGTACTAATTTAATATATCCTAGATTTCAGATGCTCCAAAAATACGTCTATTGACTTAATAACTAAAGTTCAAATATCGTATTGCTATGTGATACACTATGTTCCTTAGGAATCAAAGTAATTTTTAGAAAACATCTACCAATAATATCGAGCAAAAAACTTTTTGATCACAGCATCTATCAAATAACTAAATGAAAGGCTAGTAAACGTGACGTCATATAAATATCTATGAGCAATCTAAAGATAGATAACCAACTTCTAGACGTTTCATTTACACCCCAGTATTTGACTATGATTTGAGCTAAGAACTACAGCAGAAATCCTTCAATAATTTATATATTATGTAACTAGTCGATACGAACGATAGTTCGTTTTCTTCCCTACATATATATAACAATATGACGAATGATTTAAAATCTAAAACGAAAAATAGAAAAAACAGTGTTATATGGAAATCTAGTTTGGGACTTTTACCCAACACAAAATAATTGAAAAAGACCGCCTGAATAATTGTTACTTTGAATAGTTTTTTTCCTGAACGTTAGGGTAGTTATTTCTAAATAAAACATCGTCGAACGGTATACCGCTAAAATTCAATATAATCGACTATGTTCTCTTTTGGAAATATTTGATTTGCGTTTAACTACTACATAGAGTTTAAGTAGTGTAAACACATAGAAGTAAATTTATCTTCAGTACATAGACTATCAATGACCTCTGGATTATGTTCCCGTATAGAAATTTAAAAGCTCTTACTTTGACCCGTTAATATACTCCAATAATGACAGTACATTAATTTAAATCCACTTAGTTCCTATAATATTTCGACCATGCTCATACAAGGGACTAAAAATATAACTTGTCTAAATTTTTCAATAAAATGAATATTAGTACCAATATATGTTCTGAAGAGTAGAATGACATTTTATAGTACAATACCCATACATATATGTACACAATTTCCTAACAAGGTTTTACCGAAATTACCTACATTAGTCCATCATTGACTTATATCAGTATAGTAAATCCAATAAAGTAATGAGATAATCCGATCAAAATGATTTATTTTCACGTCTATCAGAATAGTGGGTTAGTCTATTTTAACCGAAAAGTGAGTGTACAATAAACACTTTTCCGTTCTTCATCAAGGCTCTACAATAATATGTATTTACAAGTTAAGCATAAAGTCATTATCCAATGCCGGTAGGTTAATTCAATATCATCTCTAAGGATAATATTAATAATAATATTAGAATCATGAAACGGATGCAAAGGAAATTGCATAGTTAGATTATTAGGATATTTCATGAGTATAAAATTACGAAAACGAAGTTAAAAAGAGGGGAAAAATATTTTCAAGAACGTAGGAGTAATGAAGTAGAAGACCAGAGACTATACGAAATTTTTCTGCACATAATTACTAGGTTTATTGTTATGCATTCCTATAACCGGCTGAATTAGGAGAGTGATTATAAAACCGTACGTCTGGACCTTTGTAAAAAATATTGAGATACGCCATTACATAAATTCAAAATCATTTGTTTGGCATTGCCTTTAGTCTTGATTTAAAATCCTATAAATCAGTATATAGTTTTGACAAGGAATTAATTAAAATGAAACATCTCTTCTCTCAATTTGCATTTATAACACCGTTGATTTCCTTGTATCACTTAAGAAATAGTAATGAGCATTCAAGATCAGCATATTTTATCACTAGCATAATCAAGTGTTAAGTTCTACCAAATCTTTTATTAACAAGACTTCCCTACGCCTATTACTCATCTTGATGGATCATAGGCCACCCACCAGCATTCTCCATCCTGGGCAATCCGGTTGTTTACAGTTCTTATTCATCATTTTCGTGTCTGCTTACAATTCATGACGCAGCATGTTCCTTGGTCTCCCTCTTTTCATTTCCTATTCAGGATTTCAAGTTAGCACTTGACCCGCGACACAGTTTTTCGATTTGCGTAATGCACATTCTATCCACCTCCAGCATCTATTCCTAATTTCTTCCTCATCTGCAACCTGGTTCGTTCTCTCCCATAGTGGGCTGTTGTTAATATTATCTAAGCAGCAGAGACTGAGTATCTTGCGTAGATAATTATTTATAAATACTTGTACATTTTTGATGATGCTTGTAATAGTTATCCAAGTTCCAGCTCCGTACAGTATAACTGTCTTGATATTCGTATTGAAGATTGTGACTTTGATATTGGCTGACAGTTGCTCTGAGTTCCACATGCTTTTGAATTGTGAGAATTCTGTCGTTGTTTTGACAATCCTTGCCTCTATGTCTGCATCAGATCCTCCACGTTCATCGATGATGATACCCAGATACGTGAATCTTTCCACGTCTTCTAGAAATCCTCCATCAGTTTCCAAGAGTCTAACTAAACATGTAAACCAATATAATATTGAAGAAAGCCACTAATAATAACAATAATAATAATATTGAATTATAAGTTTTTGTTGTAGGATTATCTTATCAAAACGTGTGTATTTCACTTCAATTCCGGATAAAATAAAGTTATCAGAATAAAAATAGCTCAAAACACTTAAATACAACACATGAATGTTTACTAGTTTTTGGGTCAATAAAATAAACGTGTAGAAATCTTTATGATTTATGGATCTTTCATTCCATCTTTGTAACATGTTAAATTGATCGAAACTAGGAAAATGTCTAGATGTACTGGAGATATATTTCTGTTTAAAAAAAATGTAATAATTCAGTAATAAAATAATACACTACAAAGAAATTCAATTATTCTATTGTCTTCGAGTGAATCACTTTAAATCTTCTAATCTAATGTCTTATCAATTAAGCTTTAAAAAATTGTCAAAGTTAATCATGAGTATACTTTAATTCAATCACTGAAAGTATAACCAAAGCTATTGTATAAGCGGTTTTCTTATGAAACTTAAAAAGTTAACATTTTATTCCGAATAAACAAAATCTAGAATTTTTTACATCATAGTACCATTGATACATTATTTTTAGCTTCTTAATTCAATGATGTCGAATAAATCATAATAGTTCACATAGGTATGGATTCCTACACAGATTTTCAACATTTGTATTATTAAGACACTTTTTAGAAGGATAAGTATAAATTAATTTATATTTTTTATCCCTAACCAAAGAACTACTTGAAAGAGAGTACACTTGTTTATAGTGTTTATTCTTTATTTGAAATACCATACAACTTTACACTTTAAATCTTTGTGAGTTAGAATTTGATTATATTACCTTCAGGTTCCACGTCAGTTATATTATCAGTGTGAATAAAATATATAATCAATAATTTTAATTGCAAACTATTAATTTGTTAGTTACTCACTTCAGGAAGACTGGTTCTTGAAATACCTTTTCTGAACCTTGTGAGCAATGTAGTCAACTAACCAAAAAACTGAAATAGTTTAATTATGGGGTAGTCACAATTTGTCACATGTACACTGAATTTTACGAACAATGAATGAGAAATTTCATCCCACTTCTTTTCCTTATGTACTTCAATAAAGAGATAACAATTCATTCAAACCCTTAATTCAAGATTATTTACCATAAAAATATTTCAGACTAAACATGATATAATATCAATCAATCTTTTGTTTCTTTGCTAAACTTAGATCAATTCCGAAGCAATGAACAACATTCCTAAACTATAGCTTACATTCAAAGTGCTCATAATGTGGTGGGTGCTACTGATGTCGACAGATATAAGTAGAATGAATCATCGGTCGTAAGTGAAATGTCTGTCGGCAGAAGCTTAAGAAGATCGAAGGAAAGAGAACGAGGACAGAGACTGATTGGTGTGGAAACGAAGGAGCAACAAAATCTGAGACAATTGATGAATACTTTGCAAATGAAGAATTCACTGTATGGTTCTCAGATTTTACTAAAAGATTCTGTAATTTTGTGTTCTAATACCTTCAGTTGTCCCCACTAGTATTCTCGTTCACTACAATACTACACCGTGATCATAACTCATGTAGGACAGAATAGAAAAAATGGGTTTTACTAACTTATGAACAACTGAAATATATTATTTCTTACTGAACAAAATACATATTAAATCGTTTTAAAATCCTTGTTTGGTCATATTAGACCATTTAATTGTATATTACTGTGTACGGTCGATTTTATTTTCTTCTAACACAATAAGAAGTTTCACATGTTTTATTAAACCAAAAAGTACATGTACGATCTTTTTTATGATCATTCTTTATTAATTGTGACGGTATAAATAAATAGATAATGAACAAGTATTGTCAATTTTCAAACCAAAAAATGTTAATCTGATAAAACTTACTCAGCTATCGGTAACGTAAAAGAAAATAACTAATTGAAATGAGTTGAGTAAGTTTATTGTACATGACAGAGATATATGTAGAGTTCTCGTTGATATTATCTGTTTCCACTTCTAATAGGTTTAGTGTTATGATTTTCAAGAACCCAGTTTCAGACTTTATTAATTTTGATGAAACATTTGAAGGATAAATTTGACTGACGACTGACATCTCCTAACAAACTATATGAAATTGAGGACATATTCTTTCATCTAGATTTAGAGAGCTTATTTAACTTTTCAAAATCATAACTGCACATTACTCTCACATACAAGAAGTACAACGCTCGTGTTGAGCGCACTAACTGTTAACTACTGAGTTGAAATTCAATTGTTGTTATCTCTCTTATATTATATCTCAGTTGTTCAATGTAGTCGGTGCATGACTCTATAAATCTCAATATGACTGACTGCTATATTCATTTTTCACATTATAATTTTTCGAGAAATAACCTACTAATCACTAGTGAGATTTCGTGTATTTTAAAAGCAACTTTCGATCTAAATTGATGTCATTTATCTATTACTGCTAGATTTTTTTAATTATCAGTAATGTTAATAGTGAAAATCAACTTAGAAATTCTGCTTAGTAAACAATTGATCATAACTTTGAAGTACGCAAATATTTTGTAAAATAATTCAGATCTACTTTACATTATTAATGATTATGTGTTATGAGAGAACAATACATTGATATACTATTTTAGACTAAAAGGTATCAAGTAGCCGATCAGTAATTCTTGACATGATTATAATGTATTTCTATTATCCTGTTAGCTTGTGATTTATATGTAAAACTATTATATTCCATTACAATGATTACGATTTTTATTAAAGTTCGAGATAATCTTTTCTATTAATAAATATCCACGGACGTGAACACTTTTTGTTCATGGTAAAGAAAAATATTTAAAATAAAATTAAGCTTATTATAAAGTTCACAAATGTTTTTATAAAATAAAAAGTATAACGTTCTGTTTATGGCACATGAACATTGAACAACTGAATTATAACAAGCTAGTTTGTTGAAAATTAGGATGACTGTGACAAAAAGAGAATAAATTTTATAGTATGCACCATGAACTGACCTCAATCAGACAATTGTGGGAAACTAAGAAGTATTGGATAGTTGTTTAGCCTTAGTATATGTAATTCCCAAAATTTTATGGAGAAGTACTGATGTTCAACGATTTTGAGTGTGAAACAGTCATCCACAAATCTAAATGAATTGTGAACTGATTAAAGTCAGACATGTAAACCGTTAGGTGCTTCCTCAGTGGTCTAAAGGTTAGATGCTTTCCATGAAATCTGAAAGTCCTGAATTCTATATGCAGTAAGGTCGTAGATGTATACTGCTGAGGAGTCCCATACTAGGAAGAAAGAGCTGTTCAGTGCTTCCCAGTTTCCAGTGGTTGCCTAATTAAAGTCAATTAGTGATATAAACTAAGAACACTCAACAGTCCCCATAAAACCCGTACACTAAGAATAGATTTCTTTTTATTAATTGATAGATTTACATATATTACTGAACATATGTTTAAATGTATTGAGAAGTGTAAGTTACGAATTCTCTGTTTAACTCCGATTGTTAGAAATGTTAATTATCTTGTGGATAAAGAATTAATGGCTTAGGATGTACGTAAGGTAACAATGAGTGATAGGAGACTTTGTTATTACACAAAGTTTTACTGATGACTATGAAGATTGTAGATGAAGAAAAATCTAAGAATGAGTAGGGAAAATAAGCTACCCTCTCTGCAGATTTCTAATCCAATGTTCTAGTAGATCAGCAACTAGGTAAGACTGTGAAGAAAACATTTTACTTCAGTCTCTCTTATAAATGATTAACTTACAAGAAATATGTACTATAATTTATGCCATTTTAAAAACCAATCTTAACAATTCCTTATAAATCATACTTGACAAGTATAATAAATCTAGTAAATACGGAATATCTTACTCTAAATTACTCAATTCTGGGAGATGAAAAGAGGAATTTGTCTTTTTATTCTAATTACAATCTTAAACTTGAGTTCCTTTTGTTCCCACTGATTACAAGCTAATCACAGGTAAACCACATGATTTCGTTCCGTTTAGCTTGTAAAAAAATAAAAGTTAATTAATAACTAGGACTATATAATTCATATAGTTCCACACTATAATTGTTAGGTTGTATGAAAACTTTTTAAACTGATGAAGCAAGTTTTATTGTATAAATAGATTTTCAGAAATAAGAACACTATTACATAGTTATAAAATTATTACTTGTCACATTATCCATATTGTATGACGAAAAATATCACAAAGGATATGAAACAATGACAACAACTAGGTTATCAACTAGTGAACATATGAGTTCAATTCGATTACAGTCTTATCTCGAGAACTACCTAGTCCTAGAGTCTTTGAGTATGATACTGGTTAATACTGATTTAAATCCCTAACAAAACATCATTTTCCTCTGGATTATCAACATCTCATGGCGATCGATACCAAATAACACAAAATTGAAAATTATTTTCATACGTTCAATGTACTGAGAAGTATTTTCGAATACTCCTGAAGTATGTAGTGAGTTATCATGAATATGTTCTTCTTCATTCACTTGTGTGTATAAAGAAGGTGTTATCAACTATTCGCTTGTTTATTGGCGGTAACTCTGATTGTCTGTCTAGTTCATCTTCATTTTTCGTCTTTCCATTCTTATTCATGATGATTAGTATTACATTCTTTATCTTCATATTTTTATTAAAATATAAACAATATTTTCACTTTTCTATGGTTTAGTAAACAAAAAACTGATGTAAAAGTACGCGTACACGGTTTTATATTAAAACTAGAGTCGTATTGACACGAAAAGTATATTTACGTAAAACATACTGTTTGCCTGAGTACTCCCGTAACTATTACATATAAATATATAGTTAGATGACTTATAATACATCTTTGTAGATATTGATAATAACACTAACAATAAATTAATTTATTTCAGTCTGTACACTCATCTCTCATAATACATGTAAAAGAAACATGTAACTTCTGAGATTGCATACATGATAACTAATACATAAATTACCCCCACACACACACACACAAAATCACAGTCTCATTTAACAAATTATAATCGTAACTAAAATGTTTTCTAAATTCATTGTTGCTAAAATTTTTCATTTCATTTTATAAATTATTAATCTTAATTTTAATAGGTTCTCGGTATAATAATAAAAGACCCAACAGTTAATTTTACTATTGATGATGATAATGGAATTTTTCGACTTTTCTTTTGAACACAAAAGAAGAATTTATATTCTACATAAATCAAGTTTCATTATGACGATCTCATCACAGTTTAAGCTCAACCACCATACACATATGTGTGCATACCAGTTGATTTAAAAACATGCAATTCCATATATATATAATACACGACTGATCAATATCCAGTGGAATTAATTTGTGGTCAAGGTCATGCATGGATAAGGCTACTACAATCATAATTGACCAGTATAACAGATAGGTTTAGTACAATTACTTTAGATAATACATCCTTGTTTGTTTGTTTATAATTTTTTTGTCAGAAAGAATTCGTTGTATACAAATGGGTTTTATTTATTCATATAATAATAATAATAATAATAATAATAATAATAATAAAAAAGTATAATGTCAGACTGATTACTAAAATAATGTATAAATTTATGTAAATTTTGTACATATCAGTGGTTGTACATTGGAACAACTTGTAAGAAAGTTCGTTTTATCACCTAGTAGACAATAAACTTTCCAATGAGTATAAACTAATAATGAATCATATAAAAATTTATAATGTCTGCTTGATTGTTTAGAGAACAATCTGATTAATAAAGCAATAACAATGAAAGATTCTAAAGTCTTTTATTCAATTGTTAATTAACGAATGAACAAGATTAATGAATTAAATCAATAGTCATGGTTGGAGTTGTTATAGCAATGAAAATGTAGAAAATATTACCCTACCGATATAAATCTAACTGATAATCAGCATGAAGAATAATCGATTCCTATAAACATAACTTCATTGAGTTATAATGGTACTTGGTTTATCGACTTTAATGGTAACATTAAACACGTATTTAAAAAGATCAATTCCAACGATGACAGTTGGATTATGTGGTGCTTCGGTCGTAGGCGATGCTTAACATAAGGGTTGGATATACTCCTCAGGGTGAGTAAGTTCGATATATTGTAGTCGATCCCGATGCCTCCTACTGTACAGAGGAACCTAAATATTGCTCCATTAGACAAATTTTTGGCGACTTGACGCAAATCATTTAACCCGGTCATACTGCATATGACCTTCCCAACTAAACCAGTACTTGCACAAAGAATTAAGGATAGGATAATAATATTAATGAGCACCTTTATGTACGTTTAACAGCTCGTGTAGAGACAATTATAAAGATATTACTTAGATGGTCCTGTACTTGAGTGCTCATGAACATGTACAAACATGTCTGGGAATAGGAGTCAAATAATATATTAGCATTACCATCATTTTCCAATTGGTAGATAGAGAATAACCCGTTAAAACAGATTTAACCTTCTCGGCTTTTTACTAAGTCCTGAACAATCTATATAAAGTAACAATATAACGGGTCTTTTATACTGTGAGTCATCCAGATCAACTACAAACAACAGAATTTAGGACAGTTTACTATACATTTACGACTACCGTTTTATAAATATCAAATATTAATAA